ATGGCTGCTTTAAATGATGAACAGATTTCTCATTTTTTGTCGCCAAACGGCTGTCGTATGTGCACCCTGTCACAAAAAGTAGCAAATATGCTGCAAAACATTAAGTTTGATCAAGGTGTTAACATGTCTGTACTGAACTTCAATAATGTGCTTAAAATACTGTAGAAATATTCCATTTCATAATACCCTCATGACAAAAATCTCTGTTTACAGGATAGACTCTAAATCAGAGTAATGTCTTCATCTTATTAAAATCTCAGAATTGATGTCCTTGTAAACGTACTGACTAATCAGTGAACAATGTTTAAAGTTTTCAAATATGAACACATAAGCTCAATTGTGCTTGCTTGATGCATGTGAACAAATCCGTTTCATTCATAAGCGTTACATGCCACAAGAATGAGATATGTTCAATCGTAATCTATTCTTTATCAAATGTTTGTCACTTAGGAAGAGTTGACTGCTTGATTTTTTATCTCTTTAGTTTTGAAGCATCAGTGTTTTGAGTGAATAGCCTTTTAAGAAACTAAAATCTCTCAGATTTGATTAAAAAGTACCTTCATTTGCTTTCTGTAAAAGATGAATGAACGTCTTAAAGGTTTGGAAGGACATGAGATAGAATAAATGATTAGAGACTTTCAATTTTGGGGTCAACTAACCCTTATTATTCACACACTGTCCACTTGAGAAGATGTTCATTGTCTGCATAAATCAGGCCCAAAACGGATGTGTAAAATCCACTGATAAGCTAATTAGCAAACATTTAATGGGAAAAAGATTGCCCACAGTGACTGCATCCAATATCTCTCCCCTTCTTCCTGCCAGAAATTTCAACGATCGACTTCAGGAACCGCGAGTCCCTCTTGAATATCAGTCACAGGGGAAGCGGAAAAAAGTGCCTATAATGAACGGCTGGGTTTGAATGCATCAATCAATCAATGAATAAGTGCTCTAAAGCAGAAAGGGCTCCAATCAGGGCTCGCCATGCTGCAGCTGGCTGTACAGTTCAGAGCATTTGCTCTATTCCAGTCTCGCATCTGCTCCTTCAGAGACTGCACTGCCTGCCGAGTTAATATGGCCTCGGTAAGGGGCAAATAACGCCATTCACCCATCTTTCGTTTCCTGTTATCTCCTACATAAAGCCTTGCTATTCTCAGTATGCTGTACTGCCTCTAAAAAACTTCTGTCACTTGCAAACAAAAGACATCTTCAGCCGTAATCATTAAAATCATAACTGGCAGCCAGAAAGCTGCAACCGAGGCTGTTAGTGCTTCCATACCAGTGTTTCCCGTTAACGCTAACACAGCAGGGGTGAAAAAAGAAAAAAATAAATAAATCGCTGTCATTTTGAAGCCATTTGAAGCTTCGGTCCACTATATCCTTCAACATCTCTCCATTGAATCTGTGCCTTTAAACGTGTGTGTTTTTGTTCAGGCTTTTAAACAGCAGATTTGTCTTACTTTAGCCTCCCCAAATAGTCTATTTAGCTTTTGGTGCAAAGTGGCATCATTCTCGACAACTTAGTAGAGGTAAATAATGAGCAGAGAGATTCGCAGCGACGGCGTCCTGCGCTAGCACCCTGGATTTGCATGATTCATCTTTATTATGCCAATGTCTGGGACTCTTAAGGGCTTGACATCGGCTCGGCACACGCACTAAAGTTCATTAGCAGGACGAGCTCTCCCCACAATCCACAGCAGGATGCTCATTACGTTAGTCTAAAGACCGTAGAGGAGCGAAAATAGTCCTCGCGAGGTATTACGTCCTGTCGGGTGGATTTTTAAAGTGTTTAGAGGGATGAATCATCTTTGCATTGTGTCGGTACACAATATGTTTTCCATCTTCCTAGCAAACGCACAGAAAAGTGGTGCATTCGGGTATTTGCTTCATGTGCAGGGTAGAATTGAGAGCAGGATTTATATGCGCGAGAAGAGCATTTTCGACTGTGATCTAATAACTTGTTTTAACTGACAAGCATTTTGTTCAGTCGCCGCATCATTGATGGTGTTCAATATTTTGTGCCCTGGAGCATATCTTGTTACCACCTTTAAATCATCCTGCTAGTTTGAGGCCTGCGAGAGCAAGGGCACAAAGCGATTTGAATATCCTTAAGCACTATGGGTGCATGCTAGGCACAATCCCTGGCAAGCCATCAATCAGTCCTTTATGGGGAATGAGGGACTTTATGGTAAATGCTAAATGTGATGGGAGGGAAATTACTTTGAGGTCTGCCTAGCTTAGTTCAAATCCCCCCTCTTTCCTTCTTCCTTGCTGAAGAAAGACTCAACTAATGACATATCATTTGTGCCGCATAGATGATCCAGCATTTTGAATCCCAGTGAGTGTCAACTTGTATTTACAGATTTTTCAAAGCGGATTTACTAAACAGTTTTTAAGCAAGACGTTTCAGCACAAAACCCTGTGTGTTATTTACACATCACCCGCAATCCAGTCTAACTAAAGACAAGATGCACTGAAAGAGCGTGATGGCGAATTTAAATTGCATTATGGGTGTTCTTTTTAGCACCAACACCTACACTCAGCAAAATGGTGTTTGCTGTTTATTCAAACTAATTACTTAAAATGAGCTAAAACAACACAAATCTTGATTTTTAGGGGGAACCAATAAGTTTACTTAATTTCTTCATGTTGTCACAACACAAATGGATTGTGTGGAACCAAGCGTGTTTTTTTTACAGTGTAATTTCTGTACACGTTTGCTATTTTCACAACAGCATTATCACTCACAGAAAACTCACAGTTTGGTAGAAATATAGTGGTCAGCAAAATATAAACTAAAATATAAATAATAATAATCAAAACATTTAGTATTTGTGCAAAGAAAATGTACTCATACAAATCTTTTTCTCTGGATTTACAAGGTATGACTGCAACATAGGCTCAGTTGGAAAACGTAGCCCTATATACATTTCTGGAAACTGTGAATTACTAGCCAGAGCTATGTATGGCTGCATTTCATCTTTAAAACGAATGCAACAAGGCAGTGTGACACCGTTTCTTTTCTCAATTATCAGCTGATCGCTTACCTCCAGCTTTTCCGCTGTCACCAATTTGCCCGGTAGCTTGACATGTATGTCAACAGACTTGAAATGCAGAGCGGAGTTGACTGTGATAACGTCATTCAAGTCAAATTAAGAACCATTGCAGAAAGCAGGTATGACAAAAACAAAAGCTAAAAAATATAACAAAACAAGTAAATAACAGAGTGAGAATGTGGTAAAATCTGAAAATGTGGTAAATAATAGGAGGCTTTTCTTTTTCTGGATTGCTTTTTTAAAACAATTTTTGGTTGGGTTTAGGGAAGTGGGTGTGCAGGTCAATCTGTGCTTTTTAAAACACTGTTGGTTTGGTTTAGGAAAGGGGAAGGGTGGGGAAATCAGTCAGTTGGTCAGTCAGTCAACAGCGGCCTCTGGTGGATTTACGTGAGAACAGCAGGTGCGAATGGCACTCCCAAAAGAAATTTGAGATCTGAAAAGGCGTACACAGCGCCCTCTGGTGGATTTGCAGAAAACGTAGCTCCTGGGATGTATTTGACTCTCCAGAAATGTACTGTATATAGGGGTACGTAATGAGAATGTGCCTGGGTTGTATGATTGAGTAAAATGTAAATATTTGTTTTTTCCAGTCTGATAAAAATTTCTTCCAAATTTCAAATAAATAATAGTTTACTGCATCTTAAAATTATGTATTTAGTTTTATTTATATTTGTGCAGAAAAAGACAACAGTTAAAATACATGATTACCAAATAATTTTTTTTAACACTTCTCAAGTTAAAAAAAATGATATTGTGTTGTCTGAAAATGCTAACAAACTTCTAAATACATGAATGTAATAAAGGCTGATGGCTCCCTGGCCATTGAAATGAAGTAAGCGGAGAACTCACGATCTTTAAATCATTATATTAATTAATTAAACATAAAACAAACTATTAAGATTAATTATTACTTTTATTGCTCTTACTTATAAAGAATGGCATATCCTAAGCCTTAGGTGTCAAAGCCAGTTCATGGAGGCCCGGAGCTCTGCACAGCTTTTTCCAACCCTAATTAAACAGCTAATCAAACTGATTGAGTCCTTCAGGCTTGTTTGAAACCTACAGGTAAGTTTGTTGAAGCAGGGTTGGAACTTAACTGTGCAGAGCTGTGACCCTCCAGAAACTGGCTTTGACACCTGTGTACTAAGCGATAGTAAAGACAATTATAATGTTACAAAATTTTATATATATATATATATATATATATATATATATATATATATATATATATATATATATATATATATATATATATATATATATATATATTTTTTTTTTTTTTATATATATATATTTATATTTTTATATGTTTTTTTTATGAATAAACATTATTCTGTTGAACTTAAATATTGAATCTAATAAATACAAAATCAAATTGATAACACAAAAAGTGTATAAAAACCTTTAGCTGCCTTTATAACAAAAAGTTGTTCTTAGTTGTAATCTGATTTGTCATATCTACCCAAAATCACTACTCCAATAACATGATCAGTTACCAACAACAGCGTCCACATAAATACGATGTATGCTAAGACACGTTCAGTTCGATGCTTTGATGCGGAGAAACCAAGGATGCACTCCTGCTCTGCTCCAAAAGCTCCTCCAGTGATTACCTGCAGTCTCCTAAACTGCTGCACCCTGCTGGGCAACGCTCTAGATGAAGTAGCTCCTAGATGGGAGCTGGCACTTCAAACGCAGACGGAGTACGGCAAGGTTGTCGAAGACTTAATTGTGGCGGAGAGCCTGTGGTTCTGCATGCGCCACAGACGCCAAGCCCAATTAACCAGGCGTACACAGTCTGCCAATCCATAAGGGACGAGACGTGGTTGATTCACCGTTTGCTCTCCTCTGACTAATGGATCGATACAGAGACTGGGCCTGGGAGACACACGTGTGGCAGAGAGGCTGATGTGCCACCTGATACAATCTGCATGCATGTTACACCTGCTATCTGCATGGCTTTTTCCTGCTTCACACTGGACGAATGGCCTTATTCTGTTAGCTAATTATAGTGATGAATACATTGAGTATATGAGTTAATAATATGTCAATGCTTAATTGTATCAGATGTGCTCTTGTAGTGTATTTCAAGTGTAAAAAATTGTAAATCTGTCCTTGTAGATTATATAATATTGATGAAATGGTGAAATAAAAGACCACATTAGTGTACTTAAGAGAGTACTGTTTCGTAAAACTTAAACACACAAACTAATGTTTTTATTTCTAATTCATTTTAATCATTGTTTTAATCATTTTAATGCTAACTGGCAGCACAGGGGCTCAGTGGTTAACACTGTCACCTCACAGCAAGTCGCTGGTTCGAGTCCCAGCTAGACCAGTTGGCATTTCAGTGGAGTTTGCATGTTCCCCCCTGTTGGTGTGGGTTTCCTCCAGCTATTCCGGTATCCTCTACAGTCCAAAAACATAGGCTATAGGTGAACTGAGTAAACTAAATTGGCTGTAGTGTATGAGTGTGTGTGAATGCGAGAGTATATGGGTGTTTCCCAGTACTGGGTGGAGGCTGGAAGGGCATCCACTGCCTAAAACATATGCCGGAATAGTTGGTGGTTCATTCCGCTGTGATGACCCCTGATAAATAGGGGAGAAGTCAAAGGAAAATTAATGAATGAAAGAATAACATTTCAGTAGTACACTTATTTTGATGTGTTGTCTAATATGATAACAAACGTAAAATAGTAAATATAAAATATAATATAAAATATTTTTTAACTGTTGTAATTAGAATATTAACTGATGTGCATTTTAAAAATGTGATAGAGATGCACCAAATTGTCAGCTATCAAAAAAATATTGTAAACCATAAATGGTTTTGGGACGAAAAAGAAAGATGGCAGAAAATATGAGCTGAAAAAAGTGTGCAGAATGGCTTTCACACTGGAGACAGAAAGCAATGCCCTATGAATCCCATTCATTTCAATGAACCAACCAAAGCACAGGAGTCAAATTTCAAAAACGCTCAATATTCTGCTCTCTGAAAATTTTACTCAAATAACTCAAATAAATCACTTTGTCACTGTCACTGGTTGTGTGAACAGGACTTAAAGCAGCCAAGCAACCAGCATAAAACACAGTCAACAAAACTTTAATTATCAATATTGATTTTGTTTTATATTAAAATCTTAAATATATTCCGCATTTGGTTTCAGAGTACTAGGTTGAAGCTGTAAGGGCATCCACTGCATAAAACTTATGCTGGAAAAGTTGGCATTTTGTTCCAGTGTGACGACCCCTGATAAATAAAGGACTAAGCCGAAGGAAAATAAATTCCATAATTAGTTTAAGCAGCTGAACATTTCTACAATAATAAAGTTTGTAGAAAAAAAGCTTTGCACATCAATACTGCTATTAGGAAACCACAAAATATATGAGCGCAATCTAACATTAGCATCACTCAAACGAAGATGGCCAGGTGGACATCAGCCGATGGCGTGGGAGATTGGCTCATTGATTTGTGATGAATATCCACAAGCTTTCCTTCATCCTCTCAAGTGGGTTGAAAGCCTTTATTGTGGAGGTAAACATTAACAGTATTCTGCTAATGTTTCACAGCCCACTTACAGGCATCACCAATGAATTTGGTGTTGGAACCCCAGCTGTGTGTCTTGGTGGACAAGCAAAGAAATCTACATGAAAGCACCGCGGCGGCTCTGAAAAGCCGTATTGACATGAAAATGGCATTCTGCCTGTAATGAAAACTGCCACAGATGGGGAGGTGGCCATTCATAACCTGTCTCGCTGGAGAGGCATAATCACATGACGACGTGAGCTGTCGGTTCAATAATATACAGTTTGGGGTATTAAAAAACGGTGGAAATTGAGTTCAAATGAAGTGGAAGCTTGTCAGAACACTGAGGCTGAGCGGGCATGCAGGTGCTTTTGAGCGCCACAGATGTTTAGCGCATCAGACAAGCTCTTGAGCGAGATGAGGAGCAGGCGAGAAAGGGGAAAAGGCATATATACACACACACACACACACGCACGCCAAACCGCAAAAGAGCTTCAGAAGCGAATGAACACAACTGGAGAGAAGTGGCGCTGGGGAAAATAGCGATTGGGATACACACTTCACAAGGCTGTGGAAGCGTCAGGCGTGCCTCAGAGACTGAGAGAGAGAGAGAAAGAAAGAAAGAGAGCGTGATAAAGCTTTACCATCGCCTCGGCACCTGGAAACTGTCAAAGCCTGATTCACAACTTCTGTCCTAAAGGAGGGGCAGACGCACAGGCACAATAACGCTCATTTTCACGCAAGCGCTGCTAAAAGGAGGCTTTAAGGAGGGTCTTCATGCACTGAATGGCTCTTGATGAGAGTCTGGGGCTCATTGCAATAGGTTAATCACTGGTAATCAAAAAAACAGGTGTTGAATATTTGCAGTTCCTGCACATGATCATCAGAACTCGGGAGCGTATGCTTTAATTAATAGTGATGTCCCTCTCTTGCAAGATTTTTTTTTTCTCCCTTCTGTTTATTTTTGCTTTTTTTCAGACTTTTTTTTTTTTCGAAAGCCATGAAGCACAACTGATTGCATCGGATCACCAAGAGCAAATTGCTTTTCCTCGGCAGAAGAGGCAGGGGGAGGTGGGGGTGATGGTGGGGGGATAGAGGGAGTTTGTCGTTTATCAGCGGCTCAAAACATTTGGGGCCCCTTCAGCTGGGTTTTGGAATGGTAGTAAAGAGATATTTAAGTCTAAAGCCCAAGCACACTCAAAGGTCACTTTTCAAACGGAGAGGAAATACTTGATATTACACAACCAGAAGTCTGAATGCGTTTGCAATATATATTTTATGCGGGTCTAGACTAAAAACGAAATAACAATGGCACTATAAAATTAAACATTTATGAGCCAAATAACCAGTTCAGCCAATTAAAATGGTTAGTCTGCCTGTCTAACATTTTTTCTCCATTAGAGATGATTAAACCTTAAAATTTGACTGTATGCCCTAAACAACCAATTTTCTTTCTACAAACTTTCTACAAATTGTTTTTGTGTTTGAAAATGTTAGCTAAACACACACAATTTTATTATTTTTTTTTTTTTTTAATTCAAAAACAAGACTCAAAGGCTACGTTCACACTGCAAGGCTTAGTGCTCAAATCTGATTTTTTGCATGGCTGTTCACATTGTTGTTATAAATGTGGCTAATATTAGATTTGCAGTGTGAACAGGTCATGATCCTAAACTGACCCGCATGCGCAAAAGTACAGTTACGGACAGCACAAAATGTATGAAGTACATTGTCAGATCATGCTTATAAGATTATTGCCCTTTTCACAGACAACCGTGGTGTATTTCATGAACTGTAAAGGATTGTTCTGCTACTACTAATGTCTTATGATTGAAAACACTGATCATTTGGGATTTATGACAACCGGTGCGCGTCTCTCTGAACACCGTTGGAGTGGGGGTTAATGAGCAGCCGCATACTGAACTGTGAGGCGGAGTTGGTTTATCTCTGTTTGCAGAGTTATTTCATTTTACTTTGATATAAACAACAGGCACATGCAGAAAGGAGGTTTGGGTGCTCGAGCACCTGGCCTTTTTTTTTTCTATCAGAAAGAAAGTTCCCCCTTAAAATGAAAGCGCAACACCCACGACTCTCATCAGCTTCGCGATCAACAAACACAATCTTACGGCAATTCGTAACTTTTTGATTTAGTGGCTTACTTGTTTAAATCTTACATTCTAACATTGTATGATCTGATCATGACCCAATGACGGTTGAGTTTAGGGGTGGGGTTGGGTGCCACGCCTCCTTGTTTAAATTGCGCAATTTCGTAAGACTGAACTAGTCTGAATTCGTACAAATTAACCACTAAACCCGTGCCCCAGTTTTGCCTTCAAAATCTTTTTCAAAATGAAAAACCAACTTTCTGTGGTTAAGTAATTGCCCTGTGTGCCATTCTACTGTGCTGCGCAGGAGTAGAGGATGTTTGCAGCACAGAATGATGACGCATGTCGCTTAAAGATTATGTAAAAGTCACATGAAAACCGACATAACCGTTCACAATGTGGTTGCATTGCAAAACATCAGATCTGTGTCTGATTTAATACTACATATGAATGTGGCACAAATCTGAAGTGGAAAAAATAAGATTCCATGCGGTTTGGGCTGTTCACAATGTCATTACCTGAGTCACATGTGGGCAAAAAATCAGATTTGGGCCACATTTGGCTGCAGTGTGAAAGTAGCCAAAGAAGAATCAGCTAGAAACATGTCTGAATGATTCAATGGGCGAGTTAACTTTTCTCCCTATAGACTACTATTCATACACACATGAATGCGTCAAACCTGAAATGCAAGCTTGCGCTAAAAGTTTCGCAGTTTTCTGTTGCAAAGTTCATGGTTAGTGAACTCTGACCAACAAAATCGCACCACATGACTGCATGAGACCAATCGAGGATCAAAACATGACCTCCCTGGACAGAAATAATCCCTAACACTTGCTTTTAATGTCTATAATCATCTAGTTTAATCCCACACCTTTTCGCAGAGCCATACTACAGAATTTCGCAAGTTTAAACTCTAGTTTGACCATAGCTTTAAAGGGTCACGAAACACCAAAACACATTTTTTGAGCTGTTGACAGTCGTATATGTGTCCCACACTGCTAAAAACACTATTAGGACACCTATATTTCACTAAAAAGTGTAAATTGGTTGTTTTTGCGTTATTTCAAGCAAATTCGTACTTCCGGTTTGAAATTAATTTTTGAAGCTGCGTCACGGTCATGACATAATAGCCTGTATTCCAGCATGCAGACTGGGCGTCTGTGCCAGAGTGAGTCTTATTACGTCTTACAGTGTGTTGCATTAATGCATGAGTAAGGCTTGGTTCAAACCAATCAGCGCGCTCTATTGTGCAACTTCATTAATATTCATTACTGTCAGAGTGTAGACGGCAAAGACGCCACTTTGTGTTGGCAAAA